AATGTAATGCCTTAGGAGGAAAGTGGGATAATGATGGAATACTCTACTGGTTCTCAGGTCTGCACATAGCATTGTATCAAGGAGGCTTGCATGTAAACTGTGAAGAGTCACTGTATGCTTGAGAGCAGCTATTGAATTGAGCTGAGTTCTCCTGTCTGTCTTCCAAACTTGCATATAATGCTGGAAAGTGTGGCTTGTTGCCTAAGAGCTAATAAGCTCTCATCTGGGGAGGGGGGAATATCCTTGCACTTCTTTCTGATGGGGACACTGTCACATTACTCTGATACTTGCTGGGGAAGTGCTGAATCACATCTCTCTGTAACTGCTCAGTAGTATAGTTTTTCTTGCCTTCACCACGAAAAATCTGCGGTGTGCCACCCAGCTGAAGCATCTCGTGCTGCTGTTTTCTGAGTTGCCTCTAAAGTTGGGTATGTGGAAAATCAGCGAAATATTCTGAAGCTATATGAGCTCATACAATCATAGTCAGTGGAGGTGGAAGGCACCTCTGGAGGTTATCTGGTTCAACCTCCCTGCCTCTAGGACCATTTGCCCAGGAGTTCCTGTGTGCTCTTTGTGGTCTGGTGCCTACTGAATTTAATGTTTGAGAGGTGGTCTGTGCAGAAGTGCATATGCTGTATGGGAGTGTTATTGAGGAGAAGGGATTCCTGGTCACTTTTAATCTGAAATTCGGCACTATTACTAGACACAATCAACATAACTCAGTTTTATGTTATTTACAGGTATTGTTAAGAGGCCTAGAGGCTTCAGAAGAGATCTCAAGAAGTGTTCAGAGTAACTTGTGAGAATGATTGAACAGTAAATGAAGACAATAAACCTTCAAAGCAGCTAAGAACCTGTCCTGTGTATAGTACAGAGTTGTCTAGGAAATACTGCTGCCCTTCTGATCCTCAAGCCCGATTCCTCTCTTACAGCCTCTCTCTCTCTCTCTGTGTCTTATCCTTTCTAAGCTGGGTTTGAGCTACATGCACTGAGGTTCTTGAACCTTTCATCCCTTCAGAACAATCAAGTTTGAATTTTACCTCAGCAAGCAGCTGATCTACAGGGAGGACCAGGTGAGTATCAAGTGTCTCGCATCACTTTGCAGTAGATATGTTGAGGGAGCTCCAGAGGGTAACTTTCATCTGGTCAATTACCCCTTCCCTCAAGCCTACAGTTTTGGATGAACTAAGTGCTGGACTTTGCTACCCCCATATACACAGCTGTCTGTAGAATCCTCAAATTCAGTCAGAAGTGCCAGCACTCTATTTCTGATGAGAATTTCAATCGAAATACTATGAAGTTAAAAGAAACAGTGGCAAATTGGAGGGTTTTTTTCTGCAGTTTTGCAGGTAAATTTAGGTCTCTGCTTCTTTGCCTAAAACCCTTCTGTAAACCCTTGCAAGCAAACAGTTATTTCCATTCTCTGTTTCTCAGCTCCTGTCCTTTCATGACCCTGGTAAGTTTCCCATGTTTTCTCTCAAGAAGCAAAGGGCTA